TGGTATTAGTAATGGACTAATGGGCTTAATTAATCTCTATTAGTAAACCTACTTCATCAAAATTACGAAAGAATGCCACCGTTGCTCGTAACTAACCCTTGACCGATCTGGTTTACTCCTTTGATTTGATTTATAAAAGTAACTTGTGGTATTATGCACTGTAATACAATTTTTACCTAGAAGCTTGTTCCTGAATACTTGCATCCAAATTCAAAATGTTTTTAGAAAGAGACATTGTTCTTCCATTCCCTCTTCATCACATTAACCAGTAATATTCTATTACTAATAAAAACCTCATTAAAATCTACCATTTAACAATTTAAAAAGCTACAAGGTCGGTGATGACACAACTCCCACAAATCCACCATATCATTTGATAATCTCCATTAATCGTTGAGAGGTTTGTTCAGTGATCTCTCAGACATCAACACCTGGAACTTATGTTGTTGGTAAGAACACTAACTTCTCCGATCTCTCAAGTGCTTTCTCCACTAACTTCCTTCAGTGTCTCAAATTTACACCCCGCAAACAAAAACACATCCTCTATATAAACCACACATTCACGAACCAAACTGAAACACACAAACAAGATCAACAAAACATACAGTCTCACTTTCTTCCCCCTCCAAAAGAACAAAATGGCATCTTTAATGAAATTTCTTTGCATTTTGGGTATGATCCTCCTCGTTGGAGCCGTCGTGGACGGAGCAGGAGAGTGTGGTAGATCTTCTCCGGATAGTGAGGCGATGAAGCTAGCTCCATGTGCAGGTGCGGCTCAGGATGCTAACTCCGCCGTGCCTGGAGGTTGTTGTGCTCAGATTAAGAGATTCTCTCAGAATCCTAAATGTCTCTGCGCCATTCTTCTATCCGACACGGCCAAAGCCTCCGGTGTCGACCCGGAAGTTGCACTTACCATCCCCAAACGCTGCAATTTCGCTAACCGCCCCGTTGGTTACAAGTGTGGACGTAAGTGTTGATATAAGTTATATATGTGAATTTATGTTACATCAATGTTGAATTGATTACTAATTATGTTGTTTTGTTTTTCTTGGATTATATAGCATACACTCTTCCTTGAAGTGTTGAAGGTTAGAAGAATGAAGGAGATTATTGGGATTTATAAGGAAGCCTGGAGTTTACTAGTACTACCTACACTTCTTCAAAAGCCTTTACAACATTGTCTCCAATGTATCGTATATTATATATGAATAATGATAATTATGTTTATATGTATCAGTGTGATTGTAATTGGAAGTATATCACATAATAAAATAGTATATGAAAAATGATTTCACTCTATATTTCATTTTGTTTTATGTTAGTAGCTGAAAACAAAGAAGGTGATATTGGTTTTCAAACTCTCACAATATATTCAAAGCGATTGTATATATGGCGACAAAATTTAGACGCTAATCCAAAGGGATACAAAAACGAAATAAACCAAAACTTTATATATATCAAAGTTATAAACAATCCGTGGTGGAATAAAAAGGAACACAGCTAGAGAATTTCTGACAAAAAGCAAAGCAAAATAGATCCTCTCGTCTATATGGAAGTTACTACTACTAGGCTTCGAACACAGATATGAGACATGTTCTCTGTTTCTTTGAAGATGGCTTTACATTACTAAATAAAATCTGAACCGCCTGGAAAATGCTCAAGATCTGGATGCATCCCATTTCCTGGTCCTCTTGGTGGTTGCCTACATGATTGAGATAAGCAAGAGTCAAAACCTTTTGCAGTTTGATTGTGGAGTTTAATTGTTTCGTAAAAAGACTAGCTCATAAAAAAATAAATTACCTTGTGAAACGGCCTGGCTCAAAACCGGGAACACCGGGCGGGCCATAAGGATCAAAACGAGCACCAGGAGGTGGTACACCCCTGTCAAAACCAGAAAACAAATCCATGGTTACTGGTCAGAAACAGTTTAGAGCTTTTCTTGTGTTCAACTATAGGCTGTGTATGTGTATGTGCATCTGTGTGAAAGAAATAGATGCGAGAGAGGGAAAGAGATTTTACGGTTGTGGTGGTCCCATGAAGCCAGGTTGATCACCGTATGGGCTGAAAAAGCGAGGGTCACTTGGTCCTGCAACCAAACAAAATCAGTTTAACAGACTATAATCAAGTAAGCTGTTACTCTCTCTCTTTGTCTTAAGAAAAGGTAGAAAGATGGTTCATACCTACAAGCATGCTTCCATCGCCAGAACCACCCCTGTGGAGAGACAATTAAGAAAAATACATGCGGTGAATGACATTGGAAATGAAAGGAGGTTATACATTTGTATTAAAGAAACTATAGATGTAATGTAGATAACACACCTGTGAGGGTACATTCCCGCACCTAGGCCAGGGTGGAGATCACTGTAACCTCCATCACGGGGTACTGGAGGAATTACCACCCTAAGAAGTCAAACAACGATAACTTTTAGCTTTCTAATATGTTATAAGAAAAATGAATGACTCAATGTAGCAAGTCGTGGATCATAAAAGTAAGCACAGAAAGGTAGACGTAGTCGATGTATTACCCTGACGGGTGAATCTGAGGGCCTAATGGATCTGGTATTCCAACGTATTGTCCACGCTCTTCATTTGTCTCAGAGCTGCACGCAACCAATGATAAAAATGGAGGTCTTAAACTACACTTCAAGCATTAGGAAACATATATCATTCTGGTTCAACTAACAAATGCCTCCACAAAATGAAGATTCACAATGAGAACTACAAATACTAAGTCAAAACATTGTTCATCAAAATCGAGTCAAAAAATTAGCAGACTCTGCATATTACTTCTGTGTGTTCATAACACTGACAAAACGACTCTATGAATGAGCAACTCAAGTCACATCAATCCCTCAACAAATCTACGTTTACTACGCTACAACTGAAATCATATGTTCTTTGCTAGTCCTAATAATCATTCACTAAACACTAAGAGGCATCTAAGAACGGCTTTTGAGCAATAAAATTATTTCTAAATAAGGGGTTACCTGGAAGGGGTTCTTGAAGAAGCAGGTTTCACTCTTCCGTTGAGCTTATCGATAATCTCACTCTGCAAATCAGTTACTAATTTACCCAAATTCTTAAACTGCGCAGTGTAATCTCCGTCTCTACTCTCCTCTGCATAATTCCCAACTCTGCAAACAAATACAAAAAAAAACAGAAACTTTTAGAATCTTAAGATTGCATACAAAAGGAATTCACAAACGAGAGCACAAATCAAATAGAAAACCACCACATACTCTATCTCAAGATGATTAGGTTCTGCTCCACCTTCACGTATGGCATTAACGATAAGTTTACCATCAATCACCAAACACTTAACCAAAACTTTCTTCGATCCCTTCTCCGGATTTCTATAGACAAACGCGTATTCCCCGTTGAATTCGTTCCACCCATCAATCCCAACAGCATCTAAAATCCAGAAATCGAACAAAATCAGAAACCTAAACCCTAGAAAAATCGAACAAAAAAAACCCACAAACGAAACAAATCCGATACTAACCCTGAGAAGGAGACGAAGAGAGAGCGTCGTCCGCGAAGGCAGGCCGTCCGGTGGCAGTGAGGATGAAACCGGAAGCGAGGAAAGAAGCGTGAACAGCGAAAGCGACCTTATCGTGGTTGTTGCGAAACTTCGGCGTAACTGATCTGATCACAAGCATCACCGTCTCAGAAGTCGCCATTGATTCCGTTTTAAGAAAACTCGAGAAATCGATATTCGGAACTCGGAAGCAGCAAACCAAATTGACCTTTCTCTTTGACTACTTAGGATTCGTGTGTATATATAACTTAGATATTGGGCCTAATTTGAAACAGTTTCGGGCTTGTCTACACTAGGCCCAATATTAAATTAAGAGAAAAAGGGAATCGAACCCGGGTCTGTACCGTGGCAGGGTACTATTATTCCACTAAACCACTGGTGCTTATTGCTTCTCGCTTATTAAAATTGTTTTAAAACTACTGGTGCGTATTGCTTTTCTGTTTCTCAAAGATCAC